GAAGAGCAGAACGTGTTCAAATGGAATACTCTCATGGTAATAAAAGTTCGATCAACTTCAATGTATCTGCCATTAAACCGTTTCCACAGAGCTTATACAATACAGTGTGAGTTGGAACATTGGTGTATCTGCATAATTTTACTGCATTAAATTTGTATTAATTTGGGTTAATCCTTTATAGATTAACTGGTACTGTATTTAGCACGACACACGATTTTCCATGGTCTGGTTTTAAACAAAACGATAAGGGATTACTTTTCGATATGGAGCTCAATCAAACCGGCACTTCTAAACATAACATACAGTATGAAGCTGCATTTAGAAACATAACTTGTTCGAAACAAGCGGCCTTTCGCGTTCGGGAACAATGCGGGCCGAATTTGAAATCCGCATTGAGATATATTTGGACAATAGATAAAAGAGATTCAGCTATATTTCCCGTTACTGGGAATCTCTTGCGATTAACAACAGAGATGGCTGGATTAGGTGGTGACATAGGTTTCTTAAAGAACGAGCTTACTATACAAAGTAACTGGTCGCCACACGAGTTTCTTGTAAGTTTTCATTTATCATACCATTTTTTACAAAATATTTGTTATTTTGAGAAATTCTATATCGATTGTAAAAAGATATAAACAAAAATTTGTAGAGAGATATGTCAGGATTAATTTATAAAAAAATATAATAAAATAACGGGGATGGGGAACAGAGAAGGTGCGATTGATTCATAGAAAAATTTTCTATCTTTGATAGACATTCCAACTTGGCCTTCAATCCGGACTGTTGAGTGCAATCAGTAACGATATGAAGATAAGCATCGCTGATCATTTTTTCTTGGGTGGCCCGCTGAATCTTCGGGGATTCGATATGAGAGGATGCGGACCGCGTTACAACGGAAATTCTGTGGGCGGCGAGATGTATTGGGCAGCGGCTCTTCACGTATATACGCCGCTTCCATTTAGACCTGGTCATAATGGTTTCGGGAATTTATTTAGGCTACACGGTTTCGTCAATGGCGGCAATCTGTCCAACTTCGCTTTCACATATGGTAAGAGTGATACAATAATTAAACATTGACTCTTGTTTACCATGAGAAAAACTCGAAAGATTGCCATTGGAGATTGATTTGCTTGATAAGACTTGCTATAATCTTAATTTTTTCGACGCAAAACAATGAGATTTGATGGAATGAAAGTGAGATTTAAAAAGTGAAAAAATTCATTGATAATCGCACGATCAACTCATACTATCTGCGTTATCATTTATATTTGTATCTGTCTCAATATCTTGCTTAGGAGTATTGTACTATTCTCTCAAAATATTTAGTTCATTAATTGCTTTATTTCATATTTCATTAATATATATTGATTATATATTTATATACATTATAAACTTTCAGGAGATCTCTATAATGAAAACATGAAGATTTTCACAGAGAACGTTCGGTGTGCCGTCGGCGGGGGAATCGCAATGAAACTAGGAAACGTTGCCCGTATAGAATTGAATCTAATTGCACCTTTGTTGTTCGTGAGGAGTGACGTGCTCCAACAATTTCAATTCGGTATTGGTGTGCAGTATCTTTGAGTGTCTGTCATAGTTTATTACATTTTGTGTCATCTCTGTATGATGGATTTGGATGTAAATGAAGGTAGTGAGATTATATGTGTAAATTTATTTCTGTTCATTTTTCTGACAGAAAGATTCGCAGAGTGTAAAATATTCGCAATAAAGTTAAATGGTATCCATTACTTTTGTTGATTTTTGTGAGTACAATGGAAGGACAACTACCTAAAATTCATTTATCCAGATTGCTAAAATTCGAATTGCAGTAGTCAAAAAATATAAAAATATAATGTTTTTGATATGAAAAATTAATTTATATAATTATTCAACAATATGAGAGGACAAGCGATTTATTGCTTCAACAATACAAATATGACATTAGAATCAATTTAATGAAAAATTTTCATATGTTATTGTTATATATGCAATATATTAGAAATATCACAAAAAAGAAGAAAAAGATAAATCTTAATTATTTTCAAATTTAATATACAAAAAATTCACAGAAAACAATTAGAAATATCATTCACTTTCTAATTCACTATATAAGTATATATCATATGTTTTATCAACATTTATCGTTACGATTCGCATCAAAAATCAATTATGACATTACCAAAACATTGCTCAAATCAATACAGAATAAAATTAATAATAGTAATTAGTGATATCAGTGAATGTATGCATGCGTGTTATGAAATGGAGAAAGAAAATCGGAGAGCGGCGAAGGTGACGGGAAAGAAAATTAAACGTGACCCTGAATAACCCAAGTGATCGGTATAAGGGAAAGTATTGGAATAATGAAGGATGATGAAATAATTTCGCGCGCGTAGAACTAGACATTTGTTTTTTCTCAACACGAGTATATTTTGCGGAATGCAATATTCGAATGTAAATATTCCATTTTTATCTGTTGTTTCTTACATGATGCAATCCCTACGAATATTTTATCATATGTATATGTATCAACTAATTGTTGATGGTGACTAAATAATTTTGATGACACGCATGGAATCAGCCAGCTATTTTTAGAATATGTTTCAGAGAGACCACAATATATATTAGTCCATTGCGAATTTATTTAGGATTGTTTCTATCAATTTCTACATATTTTTTTTTTGTTTCTGCATATTCTTTCTTTTTTTTCTACAAGGACAAAGTAATTCTCGCATTTAAAATTTAGAATGACAAAGAGAATTACTCAAGAAACAAAAAAAAATACGTTGAAATTGATAGAAACAATATATATATATGGTGCATATATATACATGTCTTTCATTATATTTATTAGTAATTTAAATAGACAGTGGGGAGAGAGAGGAAATGATAAATGTTTTCTATTTTTCAAAACTTCTATTGGCTTTTCCAAGCGCTAATCGTGGCAATTCGTTTATCGGAAAATGATATGTTATCAGCTTAGATTAAAACGGAATGCTACGCAAATAATGCCACAATCTTCAGCCTAAATGCAACTTATCGTTGAACGTTCGTAATCGAACGAGTATGCAAATTAAGTATACATATCTTTGAAACATGCATTAATCATTTCGCGATATTATCTGATTCATATATACATGGCAAATTACAAAAAGATCCTCTATATTATTACAAAGGATAAATAAAATATTAAATTTTTTTAATGTATATTATGTATATTTTACGCTTTTTGTCCAAATTAATTGTAAAACAAAAGTGCGTGTGTATGTATATTTCTATGTAAGCAATATATAATTCATAAACTGCGCTCGTATATAAAGACTGTTGAATACTGGTAAATGAATTCGATGCGATTTTACAACAAAATAAGCGACAGCGAAAACTAAGATTTTGCTTCATGCATTTATATCAGTATCATTTTGTTTGTTATGTTCTGCGACCGCAGTCGATGCCGACATACGCAATCTGACTCGCAAATTGACATGATTAAATCATTAGCAGGAAAAATAGAACGCAAAAAATAGAACGCGCATTTTCTCATTGAGTTTATATTTTCTGTTATTGGTAATGAAAATTAATATATATGATTTCATCAATTATTGCGAATTACAGAGGAGAATAACTCTTGCGCGTCTCTATCTGCTACAGCATCAAAATACAAATCTCATTGTCAGTGAAACATTTTACAATGTTTTAACGGCTTTAACGGTTTCAACAAAAATGTCTATTGTGTTTTACAAACAAACGCATTTATATGACATGCGCATTGTGTTATGTCCATGTACAATATAGTTTAGGGTAGACCACTGACTACTGACCACTGACCACTTGCGTGAATCACACTTTCTAGAAGTGATTGTTTCGTGCTTTTTAGAACCTAACCTAACCTAATACTAACCGATCACGTGATCGCTTTAGCAGACACGTGCTTAGATACAAGGCGCTTCGGGCACCATATCAATTTTTTTTATTAAAGTCTATGTCAAGTATGCAACATCACATGCATATAATTTAAAAAAAAAAAATATTAGAAAATTTATTTGAAAGTAATAGAGCAAATAAAGAAGAATATTCGACTATGATTGATCAATTATGCCTTTTTTTTCTCGATTGAATCTGTGTCTCTTTGGGAACGCAAAAGCATCTCTTCTATCGACATCCCTGAGTCCCTGAGTACGTTACTAAATTCGCTTTGTATTGCGCATGCGTGACTTTCCCTCCAGCTGGAAACGATTGCATATTGCACTACACTACGCTTGAGAAGACCATTCTGTAGTTGAAGATGGCCGCTTAAAATACTCGTCAACATGCCTGCTGCAAAAATGTATCCGACTGCGATAGAAATCCTCGACGCTGCTGCGAAATCGACACGAATTATAACGACAGCAAATAAGGATTTAAATAACAACGTTTTATTTACGTGTGAGGATTGTGATTTCACGAAGAATTCGCCGTCGTGTTGCGAACAATATCTACTACGTGATCACATTCGTCACGTTTGCGAGTATTGTATTTCTCGTAAGTGTCTATATATATATATTTAAAAAATACAACTAAATATAGATACAGGTCCACATTCTGGATGAATAAGTAAATAAATAACGGATTCGGTTGATTACACATATGTGCACTAATGCAAATTAGAAGCTATCTTATACAAATTTATACAATAGTATTAGTAATTAAAATAGTAAGATAATTAATATTATACGAATTATTATTATTGTTATTTAATATAAATAATAATAATAATAATAATAAGTAGTATTAATTATTTACTGTTTTAGTTATTTATACTATTGTATATTTACGCTATTATAATTCATAACATGAATAACAATAATAACTCGTAGTGCTATAATTATTTATACTATCATAAATTTGTATATCATAGCTTTTAAGGTGCACCAGTGTGTACTAGTGCACACATTCAATCAAAATCTATATAAGTAATATCAAAATATATCTAGATACATTTTAGATTCTTTTCATATATGCTGAAATATGTTAAATGGAAGTATTTAATACTATATATGAAGTAATTAAATAAGAAGAAAAAATAATATACTTAAAAAAAAATTATCTTATTGAAAAATTATAGTTTTTCCAATATTTTTGTTCCCAACATGAGCAACATTTCCGTCAAAATGTCAATCAAATGATTTCTTGATATTAAAATATGCCTCTTCAATGCTAAAACGTTTTGTTAGATAAGATATGATTTTTGCTACATTATTCAAGCTGTTTTCTTATCTTCAATGAGAATGCGCAGTTTATCTATATAAATCTATAGACACAGCCAATGCCAGAATAATGTAATAAAAATTGTATCTATATATCTAAACATTGTAGATAAGATAAAGTATATAACTAGTTATAATTAATGGATTAAAAAATACAACTAGTGATACTTATAGATATGCAAAAGGTATCTAAATAATCAACAAAAATTAAAAAAAGGTTCTAATAAATAATATAACAAATAATCAGGAAAACGGGCTAATGAGAGTCAAGCATAAAAAATAGTCATTATTACCAATCTCATTTATGTTATATACAAAATAGACTATTGAAGAAGATTCGAAAAGGAATCAAAATATTTAATTAAAGGATTTTTTATGAAGATATTTATTTACGTGCTGTTTTCTATACTTGGCTCTCATTAATCCGTTTTCCTGCTTGTTTGTTATATTATTTAAATGATGTAATCAGATTCATGGAACTAGATACCTCACATCATTATTTATATATATATA